TGTAAGATAAGATACATCTTTATTGTCCTGATCTCGGCACATTGGTTTGGTGTAAACAACGTACACATATACAAACACACACACACACACACACACACACACACACACACACACACACACACACACGCACACATGCACACACGCACATGCAAACATACACTCACATACACACAAACACACACATGCACTCACACACACACAGACACACACACACACAAAACATGCACACACACGCAGGCTTACAGTCACATGCATAATATAAACAGTAATATAAACAACGAGCTGGGCCCCCTTTCGAAGAAAGGAATGATCAGTGCATTAAAATCAACTGAAAATCATTGGCCTACTATATTTACACTCTACTGGAATGAAGCAGTAAATCTTGAGAGAAAACTAACACTTGTGTTTCCAATTTGCCAAATATAATAATACATATATAGATTGATTCTCTATTCTTCTTTCGTGGCTGACCACTCTTTAATTTTAAAGGTGTGAAAACAGTGCGCACGGCTAGTGAACGGTAACCTCACTTGTTTACAATTGTGTCTTAGAAGACGGTCTTTCCCAAGATTAGGCCTAAATGAAACTAATGACAAACTGAACATTAAACTACATTGCCTTCAGGCTCCTCAGTGAAACTGTGCACCCTTTAAATGATTCTGAACCATCATTTATATAGTCAAATTTGAAAGTGAAGTGGTTCGGAGGTGTTAAGAGGCCAAAGTGACGAACTGTCACAAATATAAAAACTAGCTGGGTCCCTTTCGATGAAAGAAATGATCGGAGCACTAACACCAACTGTAAGTCATTGGCCAAATATATTTTTTGACTCTACTGGAATGGAGCAATAAATCTTAGGATATCTAAAACATTAGAAGGTCTAGAGCTAGATCTATACTCTCAAAACAAAATGCACAGAGCGAAATATCACTTCCGGCACTTCCGCTGTGAAGGACCGCTACGCAGATTTGTTTCGTTTACAGGGGAATAATTACAAAAACCAAAGACGGACGTTAACTTTTTGTCAAATATATTTTTTCTATTTTCAGAAAATGAATTAATAAAAAATCGGGCACCGTCATGGGGCCCTAACTTTTTGCAGGTACTTGCCAACTTTCAACTTTGCAGCAGTCGTAGTTTTATCGGAAAAGTGACACATGTGTTTCCAAGTTGCCTAATATATAATATATTTATATATTCATTCTTTATTCCGCTTTGGTGATTGTACACTCCAGAATTTCAAAGGTGTGAGCCCAGCTGGTGAACGGAAACATCTCTTGTTTACAAAATTTAGTTTTAGTATAGGTTTTACGGGCTCGCAAATGCATACGGTCATATGAGCGCCAGTGTTTACAACATGGCGTTTTAGAAGACAGACTTTCCCAAAACTAATGAAAAAGTAAAAATTAAACTATAGTGACTTTCACAAATATAATATACTAGCTGTACCCCCTTTCGAAGAAAGGAAATATCGGTGCATTAATATTAACTGAAAGTCATTGGCCAAGTATATTTACACTCTACTGGAATGGAGCAATAAATCTTGAGAGATGCAAAAAATTAGAAGGTCTGGATATAGAGATGTTAAGATTGATTCTCTATTCCGCTTTCGTGGTTGTGTACTCCAAAAACCAGTGCGCACGGCTAGTGAACGGAAACCTCACTTGTTTACAATGGCGTCTTAGAATAACTGAAAATGATTAAACTACAGTGTCTTCAGGTTCCTCAATAAAACTGTGCACCCTTGAAATGATTCCGAACCACTATTAATTTTGACAAATTCGAAAGTTAAGTGGTTTGGAAGTTTTAGATGGCCAAAGTGACGAACTTTCACAGAGATAACAACCTTAAGTTAGATACATACTCAGTATTCAGACTGAAACTGAGATTTATTTTAATGCATGCTCTACGCTCATATGAATACTTGTAACAAGGAGGAAAAGATGGAAAAATTGTAATGGATGATCGTAAAAATGACTTTCTGTATCTTTCTTTGTTGCAGACCAGAAGCCCAGGTCTCTTACTTTTCACGGATATCTTTATTTGGGGGAACATGAGATGTGTATTGTCCAAAAAGATGGAATTAATTTCGTTTTGTGCAAGCTGTAACGTAAAATTCACCCTAGTAGGGGAATGTAAATGTACAATTTTTGCCTGCTTTCCGTAATAATCGATAACATTTTTTAAATTTTGTTGTCATGTGCTTTCGGCCCATGGTGTTATACAGAAATTGATCATACTTTTTATGGTTGAATTATAGAATATTGACATCAATGTTTTATCAACTTTATAATACATGAACTTCTTTATAAAAAATAGTCTATTGCTGACTTTTTTGCATGAAAGAAGTGAGGACACGCCAGTTAAGTCTGTTGTCTATTGTGACACCCAAATACTTTTAATCTGACACTTGCTCGTCGTTTTCACTTTTAAGTTCGAGTGGCTGCAGGGGCAGTTTCTTTTTTGTAATTTCATAACAAGATTTTGGGATTTTTTTTTC